CGGACAATCTTTTCGGAAATGCCCGCCCTGGCCACACCCAAGGCACAGGCCAAGAGTGTACCAACACTCTCCTGGGTGCCTGCGCCCACAAAGGTCACAAATCGGGTTGCGAAACCCATCCCCGCTCTTGCCCTTCTTCTGTAAGGACGCAGATGACTGAGCTGGGGCTGACTTCACCTTCTTGCTCTGGTGAGAGCTGCTCGGCACTGTAAAGGACCTCTTGCTGCTGGTCCCTGCCTTCTGGGGTGGAGGAGGACGAGATGGTGCTGTTGACGCTCCTAGCATCTGCTCATACTCAACCTTCTTGATGAGGGCCGCATTCAAATCCAACGCATTTTTGTACAACGCGTTGATGTCACTCCGGGGAGCAATGATCAGATGGGTCGAAAGGTCGGGACGTAAACCCTCCATGAAGCGTTTGCATCGCTTCTCCACGGTCGGTACGAGGTCTTGCCTAAACCCCGCGAGCTCGTCAAACTTCTGACGATTCTCAGGCAGTGTGAGTTCACCCTGGGTGAACTTCAAAAACTCTTCACGCTTCGCCTCGACGAAGTGCTTAGGGATGTACTCTTCGTGGAAGAGTCGGTCAAATGTGGCCCACTGCACGGGCTCCGGAACGTCTGCTCCCACACGCTTCCACCAGTCGTAGATGGAATCCTGAAGTAATGCGACTGTGAGGTCGCCACGCTGCTCCTGTGGAACCCTCAGGTTCCCCAACACTCGGATGGTTCGTTCAAACCACCGTTTGGCAATCATGGGGTCGGCGATCTGATCGCCCAAGAATTCTTCAGCTCCATTCTTCCGGAGTTTCTCGATGGTGACCACCGCCATTGGTGGCGGCGGTGGTGGCGGTGGTGGCACGTAAGCTCCAGCCATCTGTTGGAGGAAGTTCATGAAGTTAGCCACAAACTGTGGCTAGACGATAGGGATGGCTTCCGGTATAGGGCCCACGCCCGGGACCGCCTGCTCGGAGGCCTGCTGAGGTGTGAAGCACGACGCTTCAGTGTGCATGCTCACGTGCTCAGGCTCCCCCTCTAGGACCGCCTGTCCGTCATTGCCAGCTGCTTGACTCATTCTCTAATGGAATAACTTAAATCAGAACTAATTGTAATATGACATACATGTGATTTAAATAACGGTGTACCTTTCCTTGGGAGTGATGCGATGGGAGATGCGGCTGTGGACTTTTTGAAAATACCTTTTGAACAAGACGACAAGATATGTTTTTTTTTCAAAAACCGAAACTTCTCTGATACCAAATTGTAACACCCGCCTTCCGTGGACCCGATTCACCCGCGACCCAACGGACCGGTAGGGTTACATGGACAGTCCGAGAACCATCCGTTACGAAAACATTAATGATTATTTAATAAGAAAACGGTTGGGTTTTAATTAGAGAAATAAGTGCCAGGGAGTTACTCCCAAAACGTGTGTAATAAAAGTGCAGAGTAATTGCGGAAGTAATTAAATAAGTTTAGTCCAAATTAAATAACAACAAGGGTGGTTTCATGCCTAATCGATTAATGAAGTTAGTGAAAGTAATTAAGAGTTCGTCCGTGCGCCGCCCATCTCCCCATCGTCACCGCTCTCCAGGGTTGGCACCTGCTCCGTCATGTCTACCTGCGTGTAGCAAAAACAACTACACGCTCAGCAAAAGCTGAGGAGTGAATCTAACAAAAGAACATGAAGTGATAACCCATATGGCTATACCCATAACAATACCTGTACTTAACGTACGGGACACCACACATTACTAACTGTTTAGTTTTCACCTGTTAAAGTTATATCGAATAACGAGGAACATAACGATGATGATATGACTTGATGCATGACACCCCTGGCTTAGTCTCACTCGACAAGATCACCTCTGCACTCCGGTCATCGTCCCCGAACGGTAACGAGCCGGGCACGACGAAAACATCGCGAGTGGACTAGCAAAACCAGGTAGTAGCCGTAACCTGACTACTATGTACGTACACAAGCCCAACCTGATGAAAACCCGTTGGTCCCCAAAGGTTCCTGGACGGACCCACTGTAGTAGGCGCATGAAGTCCTCCCTACAGCGGTATGCACATGATGAAAACCTAGAACATCCGTCTGGAACGAACATGATGGAATGAATACATTGATTAAAGAAGAGAGTTAAATTCAATTCATACATATGTGTTTGATTACGATTTGTTCAACATGATGGCCCTGGGTTCGGAACTGGCTGATAATCGATTATCTGCTGTTGATAATCGATTATCACGCTGTGCAGCTTCTGTCCCCAAAGTCCTGTAGACCGTGATAATCAATTGTCACCCTATGACAATCGATTGTCAAGTTGGTTTATCTGGAAAGTCCTAAGTTCAGAGAGACCTGATAATCGATTTGTCTGTGTGATAATCGATTATCAGTGAAGCCAACTCAGACCCAAGAATCCGAAGAGCCTGATAGTCGATTATCACATATGGGATAATCGAATGTCCTTCATATGAAATAGTTCATACTCATGGGTTAGAAAATCTATCTTAGCTTCTCGGACTTGATCCGTACCTTCATATGTGATTTCTAGCTTGTCCCACATTTCCTTGGCGGCGGAACAACAAGAGATCTTCCGGTAGTCATCCGGGTTTACTGCACAATAAAGAATGTTGATAGCCTTGGCGTTGTTCTCTATTTTCTTGATATCCTGCCATCGTATTCGTCTTCGGTTTTGGGAACGATGGTTTCCCCAACTTTCTTCATGGGCACTTCTTCCCCATTCTTGATAATTCTCCATAGGAGAAAGTTGTTGGATTGGATGAAAATTCTCATTCGCTCCTTCCAATATGTGTAATTCGTTCCATCAAATAATGGAGGCCTCGTGGTGGATTGCCCTTCTCCTAAACCTTCGTATAAGTTTTGAGTAGAAGCCATTGATCGTTTCTCTCAAACGGTTAAGTCTTTCAGAGAGTAAGGCTCTGATACCAATTGTTAGAATAAAGGCCCAACGCTAGAGGGGGGGTGAATAGCGTTTGAAACAAAATCGCCGGAAATTAAAATGAGAGCGTTAAAGTAAAGAGCGTAAGGAAGGAGCACACCGAATTTTATCCTAGTTCACCACAACGTGTGGCTAATCCAGCCCCCCGAGAGACTCTCTCTAGCTACACTAACTCCGTTAAGCTTAAGGGTGCTTAACAAACCGATACAACTTGCGAACCCGAGTCACACGAGCCTCAACACCTTTGCTTGGAGATACCGCACTCCAAGACTTCTCACGAAGGAACAAGGAACTTCCTTCGAGTTTACAACAAGGGAACAACCTCCCTTAAAGTGTATGAAAACACTTAAACACTCAGGAATAA